TAAATTTTTGATATATTTTCATATATCAACTATGTGCGGATTATATATGGATTTAAATAATGACTTAGTTTTAGACTCAAGTTATTTTCTAGGCATTTTGTTTAGAAATATAAAGAAATAACGATAAAAATCTCTCACGAGTGAATCGAAAAGCCAAAGATTGTTTTCACAACTTTAATAACCGGATCTTATATAAGTAGAAATAATTTCAGAAGATAAAATTTTAGTGAAATATCACTAAGATCATTTGATACAAAGTAAGATATTATTAAAATTCGTTAATTGTAAGTGATAAAAATGTATGATAAGACGAAATGATAATACAAATTGCCATCATATAATATAGGCTATATATTTTATAACTTCTGTTGACAGGCTGAACTTGTGACCCTAAGCTATAACATATAAAAGGCCCTTCCTCTCCACCAAATAACGATACATGTAAAAGTGTGAGGTCCTAAGCTGCAGCTTGTTTAGCTTATGTTAGTAATGAATAGTGAAATTGAGGAAAATAAAATTCAAAAAAATTCGCAGCTGTAAATAGACTATCATAGAAGAGTATATTTTAATTATAAATGAATATAAAATTAATTTAATTTTATAATTTCTGAACGAAGCACTTAATTACATGCAATATACTAGATATAATAAGAATTTAGTTTTATTTGAATGGAATCATTTTAAATAAAAAGAAAAATTTTTTATAGATCGGTACTGTAATAAATAAAGCATGTATATGTTTGTTAATTGTTTCTATCAATATTTAAAAAGTTTCCTTATCACGAAGGTCTTTTATAATTATGAAATGGCAAAAGATAATATCAAAAATTATACAATCAGATTGATACAATACAACTACTTTTTAAATTTGAATATATTATTTAGCTTATTACAAGCTTTTATTTAAATTAGATTATTCACAAATTTGTAGATTATTATCTATAAAATAAAACAAATAATTTATTGTTTTAAATAAAATGCTGTTTAATGTACATATTTTTGATTTATATATCGTTTCTACATTTATAAAATTAAATTACAAATAAATCGCTGCAAAATAATAATAATAAATAAGTAAGTAATGGAAAATTTTGATAAACTTGTAGAGAATAAAGATAGAATTAGTAATATCGTATTATAAGTTTCATGAAATATAAAAAAAGGAAATAATTTATCAACAAAATAATATTTTCTGATTTTATATCAATTTAATAGTAAAAATTTTCATCAGTTTTTAAAAATTTATTATATAAAGAAGTATATAATATAGAATTTAATAATATGTTTAAATTTTACGTTACCGTATATCCAAAAGAATTTTTTTTTTTCGAAGATGAAGTTAAAATTATTTATGTAATTACCTAAAATTTAAAATATTTTATTAATTTATAAACGTTTCTAAGTCGTTATAGTATAAAATTATTACTCGCTATGTAGGATTTTCTACAAAGTTTAGTTTTTTGCTAAAATTAATATTATAGTGAAAAATTACCATTTGTGAAACAGACTGAAGGCATACAAAAGATAAAAAGAACCGTAATCCTATTTAAGCTTATTTTTAATATTTCAAACAGCTTATTTATTTACTATATCTATATAGAAATCAAATTACATAATTTTCTAATTTATTAAGTTTTTAAACATTATGTATTCTTATATACTGTAATTTAGTCAAAACTAGCAATATCTATTTTATTTATTTCGTAAAGAGTGTGTAAATTTTAACTTGTTTTAAAATATTTGGCACTTTCTGTTAATAGTATAAAATCATGAATATTAATTTATTTAAAGATATATAGTAAAATTATTCTTGCAGATAATTAAATATATTTGAAGGTTTTTAAAATAAAATGATTTACAGTATACGCTATATTAGTAGCAAGTTTACGACTATACAACCAGGAGAGTGCCTTAATTTTAATCGGAAAAAGATTGTTAATTACATAAAATTAATATACTAATTCGAAGTATATCTTATGGCTTAATACTCAAGCCCGAAACTAGAGCCGAATTTTAGACAATAAACAATGGTCTGTATATTGACTGTAAATAAGGCGTCAAATCGTCAAAAGTTTTAACTCATATATAAAAAATATAGAATTAAACGTATTAAATTTTAAAATAAAACTTTAAAAAATGAAAAAGATGATAAACACACTTCTATCAAGCATATTACACATATTTTCATATGTGTAATATGCTTAAATATTTGTTTGAAATAAATCTTTGTACTGTACACAAAATATACGCCATAACAAAATGGCTGTAAATAATTTATTCATTCAGTAATTGTATTTAATGTCGATTCAACTATAAAGCTTTAACCATATGCCCTCTCGTATATGTAATCGAAATTTTTTGTGATATATAAGTCATAGGCTGTTATGTACTCACGCTTATAAATAAAATAAATAATGTCATTTATTAAATGTAAATGAAAAAATATATATATTTTTTCAAGTGTCGTGTAGTTTATCAATGTGCCGGGTGGTCGTAATTTATTTACTTAATTCAATGCTATCTGGAGAGATATTTAGAAGTCCAAATGCAACCAAATTTGGTATGATATTTCATGACACGCAGAAGACAGCTCCATAAAAAAACACATCAAAACTCATCACTATAGCACTTATCGACGCTGCAAGCAACAAACACTTTACTTGTGCAAAACGCTCATGCTATAAAGACCTTAGCGATGCAGAGGATACTGCTTAATCTGGTCCCCATTCTGAAGGTGTAAAACCTGAGGGCAATGAACAGTGTGTTCAATGGCCGACCGTAATTGATCCTCTGTGATGCTTCTTGCATGCGATGTGACACTGTCTTTCAAGGCTGTCAAATATGCAACGTGTCCACGATAAGCCACGCTTTTTTAAATATCCCTCATAATAAAAAATCGTACTGATTAATAGTCGACTGTTTTTCGTTGTTTGCATCACCACAGTAATGAATTTTCGTATTTCTTTTTTGCGGAAATGTCTTCTTCATGTCCTGAAATGTCATCATACTAAATTTGCTAAATATCTCTCCAGACAGCGCTGATAGTGGTACTTTAATTACGATCATCCGGTATATCATTTTATCCAATCATTAATTTCAAAATAAAAAATGATTGATGTTTTATAACTTATATCTGTATTGGTTAATTATATATATTTAATTATGTATGAATTTGTAATATATAATTTTATTATGAAAAAAAATTAATGTTTTTCAATTTATCAGTCAAAAATCTTGTATAAGGTCTATTTAAATATTTCGAAATAGAATTATAAATTTCATTTTTATGGCAAACTTATTTTTTATTTTTAGACCAGTTTCTTAAATTTCAGATTATAAATTTGTGAATTAATTAATTATAATTGTTTTAGATTAAATTTTAGACGTGACTTTTAACAGAAATTTCTACTAAGTTAATTCATTTTATTTATAGAGAATATTGATTTCGATAACATTATTGCTTTAACCTTTATCATCAACTTAACTTTATATTTAAATATTTTTGCAAATATTTCTAATTAATTGCATATTTTTAGAATTAATTTTGTTATTATTATTATTATTATTATCTATACGAAAAACATTATACTGTATAGGCTATAATATAAATTTAATTTAAATAATGTTAATTTTTATTAATTTTAAATGATTTTATTTCGGATTAATTTAATTGCCAAAAGTATATGAAAATAATTCACTGTACAAGAAACAATTTTCTCTAATTTTTGTTAATAAATAGTACTTTTATAAAGACAGTTTTCTGGAAACGAAAAATTAAGATTATCCGACAGAAAGTTACGAAAATTGTATCATAAAATTGTTTCATTTAAAATGAGTGACAATTTTAGTTACTACAACGTTAAAATTTGGCGAATTAATTTCAGCTAATTTAATTTTATATTTACTTTAAACTATTGGTTCTTAAAGTTGTCCGCGGACCACTTAGACGGAGTCATAGATGAATCACGGATCACCTACGCTTTCGTCCACTTCTTACCCTTTAAATATAACGATAAGTGTGCCAAAATAGTGACTATCCAGTATTAGGCCTATATGTGTTTTTCTCTGGCGAAACCGCATAGAATTGCATTTTTAAATAAGTTAGATAATTGCTTATGAATTAGTGTTTAAATTAATATACAATTAAACATAATTGTGTATAAGCAACGTTGATTTATTCGTATTATTCGTATTTTATTCGTTGATTTAAAGTATAAAAATGTAATAATGTAGCATTTTCTAAAAATTCAGTCTTATAAATCATACATACCTCAGTTTTATTGATAGTACGGTTATCATATTAGATATAACTTCAGGATTTGAATGAATATATTAAGAGTATATCTATATCGGAAAATGGAAGTAGGGATTTCGATAGATGTTAGAGAAAATTCAAGTTATCATGTTTGAGATCAGTTTGATATTCGATGAAAGCGGGCATTCTGAGATAAGGATCAGCATTTTCTAAAGAACAATTGTTAGCTGTGTATTGGAATGCGTTTTATATTAGTCGACAATTTCGTTGAAATCTTAACTATAGTTTGTCAAATCGTATAGTAAATGCTAATAAGTTTCGGTATGTTTCGAGTAGAAGGGAGGAGAAGTATAAAAATGGAAATCGAGTTTATCTTCGTACAACTTGTCTTGTGTACATCCTAGCTTGACAATGACTAATGGGAATAGTTGAAAGGCGTTGCCTTTAAATTGTATAGAGTTTTGATATATAAAGTTCTAATACTGTAAAACCTTTTAGCGCTGTCTTTTTTACTAGTAATAACAACATCCGCATGGTTCAAATTCTCAGTTATAAACACATAAGTATATAAAACTATTCACGAATTTAATTTTGTAAAAAGAAATAAATAAATAAAACGATTTAGCTTTTAAAAGTATTTTTAACTAAACATACCATTAAATATAATTGAAAATTTTATTTAAAGTAGCAATAATTCATTTTACATCCTGTTTTAATAATACATTTTTGAATTTTATCTTTACAGTGATAAATAAGGGACAAGTTATGAGCGGTTATTACCGTTTTATGAATAAAAATGGTGGATTTACATGGGTTCAAACATGTGCCACAGTTATTATTAACAGCAAAAATGCGGAAGAACAAAGTATAATTTGTGTCAATTATGTAATTAGGTCAGTTAATTTCAATATTAAATTTATAATTTAATAATTTAATTTGGTTTATATAAGCCTGTATTAGTTTTATAAATATTAATTGCACATTCTATGGTTTTACGAAAGATTAGATTTTTTAATAGAAAATTAATTGATATTTCTAACATCCAATTTTTATAAATACAAAACAAAGGCCACGACATGTGAGAATATCATTATTATTTTATACAATAGACAGAAATCTTTTATGTAAATTACTAATTAAATTCAATTTTTTACTACAGTTTGCAAAAGAAAGTTGGTTTAATTAATTAATACACAAGAATCTCAACAGAAAGCATTTCTAACAGTAAGCATATATAAAACAGATCTATTTCAAGTATTCAGAGTACTGTAATTGTATTCAGTCGCAATGACTCTGATATCTTGAAAAATACAAAGACAATTTAATAAAACTAAATTGTAAATTTTTAAAAACACGATGGAAATATATACGAAAAACATTTTTACGTATTTCTAAAAATTCGTATAGTTCTATTATTTATAATAAATAAATTAAATTCATTGAAAGAATTACTCAAAAATATCTTTTAAATAATTTTCTTTTTGGATTATTATCATCACTCCTATATCTAATTTTTAACCAAGTGAATAAAGAAAAATTCCTCATTTAATTATTAATATAGAATGAAAAATTTACCATAGAAATAAAATAATGCATACAAAGTTACAAAATGTTGCATTTAATAAAATAATCTTACTCAACGAGGATAATATATGTCCTAGCTTCTCTAAAAGCCTATATTTTAAGAGAAATTCAACCAGAAACGTCAAGAAGGAAAGAAAGTAAAGAAAAAAAAATTATTATACATTCTGAACAACAGTAAATCTAATAATTTTATAAGAAAAACTTGTCAAAAATTAGTAAAAATAAACTTTTAAAACGAATTTTATAGAGAATTATTGTAATTTATTTCTGAAAAATCTATACTTTAAAAAAACTATGTTAAAGGTAGACTGTAGTCCATCTTGGCTTTAAAAAAATCTGAAAGTTTAGATTTTGACAGAGATAAGAATTTTAAAATATGTAAAACAACACAAATTGGGCCTATACAATAATTAATCAAAATAACTCATTAGCATATTAGGAGTATGCTAAAAATAAAAATAAAAAATTATACAAGTTTGCTTGAAATGTATTTGCTAAATTAAGTTTAATCTCCCTTTGGCGAATAATATGATAAATTTACTGGAAAAGGCGCGGAATAATGAAGTTAATGTATTCTGTTGTAACTTATTCGAATGCATCTTCCATTATATGGCCCCGAATAACATTACACGAAAAAGAAAACGTTGACAGATAAACTTGTGAACCTGTGATTAAGTTGTCTACTTTTTCTCCTTCGTCTTGAATATAATTTTAATCTCGTGAGTGGAAAGTGGAATAACATAAAGCGATATGATACGGATCAACAAACCATTAAAATTCTGTAATATAATTTATATTTAGATTGGTTGTACGTCACAAAATTAAAACGAATGTATATAAAAATAATTTTAAATTTTGAAATTAAATCATCTGATAGAATTAAATTATTAATAGAACGTGCTTTATATGAAATTTATTAATTTTAAATTAAGATATATATATTTTTTTCCAACCACGCAAAATTATTGCAGATGTTAGCGATAATTCCCTTTTATCGCCATCTTTTCTACACTTACGCCATCTACCGAGATACAGTCGAATCTACCAGTACGACGTGAACTGCGCTTACGGAATATAATCGGAATATTTCATATTAATAGGTCACGAGATAGAACTAAATGGATCTATTTTAAATATCAACGAATTAATTAACATTTAAAGCCATTATAAAGTAAATTAAGAACAAAATGTTTAAGTTGTCGAAAAATGCCAAGATCATGAAGTTTGTGTATTGTTTCTAACTAGTTTTAAGTAGTAATAGTTTATAATTATATAGAAAAAGTATGCAAGTGCTTAATATAAGTAAATTTTTAAAAAATGATTATAAAATAATAATACTTTATTTAATTTTCAGTGGAATTGAATATGAAAATTATATAATGGATTACAGTCAATTTAGTCATCTCAGCAATTTGAAACCGGATGATCCGAGTGATACAGAACATGGATCATCTCCTGATAAGAATGGTCGTGGTAAGTGTGCTATCAGTTAAAACTTAGCTTTCTTTATACAGTAATTGAAACATTACATTGTTTAAAATGACATTAAAAGCCACTATTATAATACATAATATATATAATGATCTAATTTAAACTGCTATTATTTTATCGAACCTTTAATCCTCATCATCATTTCCTTTTATATAATCATCATTTCCTTTTATACAAAAAGAACGATTGTTATATCATATATTAACAATTGTTCCTTTTGCTGTAGGAAAAAAGCAATGTCTATTCGTGTATTATATGTAGGCTGTTTTTTTTTTTCAACCTCTAATGGTTCGTAAAACAAAGACAAGTGTAAATAACAAAATGAATTTATTACCAAAAGTTAGGTACGAATGTGGTTACTTTTTGATGTAGTTGTCGTGAAGATTGAAGCATTTGTCTATCTGTTGAGGAGCTTTGAAATCCCCTCTTCGTAGAATGTTGCCGCCGGCAACTCGAGATGAACCTTGATGTTGTTTTNTATTTAATTTTCAGTGGAATTGAATATGAAAATTATATAATGGATTACAGTCAATTTAGTCATCTCAGCAATTTGAAACCGGATGATCCGAGTGATACAGAACATGGATCATCTCCTGATAAGAATGGTCGTGGTAAGTGTGCTATCAGTTAAAACTTAGCTTTCTTTATACAGTAATTGAAACATTACATTGTTTAAAATGACATTAAAAGCCACTATTATAATACATAATATATATAATGATCTAATTTAAACTGCTATTATTTTATCGAACCTTTAATCCTCATCATCATTTCCTTTTATATAATCATCATTTCCTTTTATACAAAAAGAACGATTGTTATATCATATATTAACAATTGTTCCTTTTGCTGTAGGAAAAAAGCAATGTCTATTCGTGTATTATATGTAGGCTGTTTTTTTTTTTCAACCTCTAATGGTTCGTAAAACAAAGACAAGTGTAAATAACAAAATGAATTTATTACCAAAAGTTAGGTACGAATGTGGTTACTTTTTGATGTAGTTGTCGTGAAGATTGAAGCATTTGTCTATCTGTTGAGGAGTTTTGAAATCCCCTCTTCGTAGAATGTTGCCGCCGGCAACTCGAGATGAACCTTGATGTTGTTTTGAAAATCGTCATTAGTCCCGAATCTCTGCCCTCCTAGTCACATTTTTATTTCGGGAAAGAGGTGGAAGTCGCTCGGCACTAAATGGGGCTGCACACAAGGTGTTTAAAAAGTTCCAAACTAGATGGAAGTCTGAAAGGTGACAGTCTTTACATTTTTTTCCTGAACTGAAAACTTGGATAGCAGGGCAGAGGTTTGAGACTAATGATGATCTTCAAAACAACATCAAGACCCATCTCAATCACTGGTGGCGACATTCTATGAAGAGGGGATTTCAAAGGTCATCCACAGATAGACAAATGCCTCAATCTTTACAGTGATTATGTCGAAAAGTAAACACGTTTGTACCTAACTTGTAATAAATTCATTTTGTTATTTACACTTGTCTTTGTTTTATGGACCATCGGAAGTTGGAAAAACAATTTGCCCTCAGTTTTGATGACAAAACTATAATACATAAACCTTGAACTGTTTTCTTTCTATTGGGATTGTTGTTTCTGTACCATCCTGGTGATAGATAGAACTTTGTGTTGTTAATATTTTGTATTATTTTTTCCTGACTTGTTTAATTTATAGGGCTAAACATGAATTGTATCTTATCTTTTACTTCTAACACCAAAATTAATATGTGTATGTTAATTCTTATATATATATATATATATATATATGTATATAAGAAATATTTATTAATGCATAATATATATTATGCATTAAGAATACATATAAAATAATGTTAAAAGTTCACATATTCTAATGTTACTGCAATAAATAAAAAAATCAGAAAACTCAAATTTGGTATACTCATACAAGAAGATAGTGGAAAAAAGATTGCAAAAAATAATTCTAAAAATTTATTTATAAATATGAAAGTGTGAAAAATAATAACTTATTCATAATTTCTTATTCAAACTTATAAAACTTATTCAATTCAAATAGCATTTTTGTAATTTGCCTTTACTATTTTCTTCATTATTAGTACACTTTAAACAGATGTAGCTAATTAGTCTCATCATATTTATGATAGCTTATAATTTGCAAATACCAGTAACGTGAATTTCATATTGTATGAAACTTGCATAAAAATATTCTAATTATTAGTAATGCATTTTGTCTAGTTCATCTGTTTATGTTATAGCAGTATGGGTTATATGGACCTACAATATTTGTGTGGGATGGTCTTTATATATTACCAAATATTCAGAGTTACTTTGTATATATTTTATGATAGGGTTTTTAAATCAATCAATTAAATGATTATGTTAATTACCATAATATAATCATTTGATTTGATATTCTGCAAGTTTTAGCTTTGAAAAATTATTAAGGATAATGTATACCAATCTTATCCATGTCTTATCTTTACATTCTTTTTAATTTTCATGTATTGCTTATAATAGAAAACAACTTTGAATATTTTCTGTAAGATTTTTGTAGCAGTTAATTTTGTTAAAAAGCTTTACTTTCAAAAGTTGTAGTAGTCCTGATTTGTTCTGACAGATAAAATGACATTTCTCATTTTGGGATAAGTTTTGGATCTAATTGCATTTTGTCCTCTGTAAATCCTTTCTATATCATCTGTTTGACAAACAATGAATTTACTGTTTACTATTAAAATGTCAGATTTTAATTTTATCACCAATCTGTATATTTAATGTAGACAGCTGTTTTTATCATTTGATACTGATTTAATTTGTTTTCATTTTTAAGTAGCAATTTTAATTAGATGTTATTCACATTAAAAATAAATTTTTAATCTCTTTTAATAACAAAATTCAGTAACATTATATGAAAAAAAAAATAGATTGATCAATATAAGAAACTATGAATACTTTTTTATTCATCATCATCATCATCATTTCTTTATTTATCAAAAGGTAAATAGATAAACCAGTGTTTAGACATGATCAGAAATGATGATAGAAACCTCTCTCTCCAACAATATTTATTATTTGTCAAATTTGTATGATAATTTCTTTATAATTAGGATGTATCTTTTCTTAACTTTATTGTGATCTATTAGAATTTTATTATATAAATAAAGATAAAACTTCATTTCAGCCAGTATTAAGATTAAAAATTCTAAATATTCAGTTTTTAACTGTAAAACATTTGATGTTATACTGGATGCTTTTAAGAAAATATCATATAAAAGACAGTGCATTTTATAATTTAAAGTTTAGAATTACTTTTAATAATTTTACTATAGGTAGTTGTAAAAATACTGCACTTTTCATTTTAATATTAAAGATATAAAATTAGTGTCTACATGTTTTACTTATTCTTATATTCACAAGTAGGAAATAAATCTGTAGACCATCTATTGCTTAAATATTATGAAAAAAGAGAAGTGTATCTATCAGACTTATAATTATCGAATATTAAATACTAAAAATGTACAAAGTTTACACTTGGTGTCAGTTTATTTAGCAGTTCAAATTAATGTTATTTATTTGCATAGTATTCATTAATTTCTTTTGTAACATTATTTTTCTTCTAAAACTTCAATTGTTTGAATGTAATCTCATATTTATCTTAAGCATTGTAACATAAATTAAAAAATTTAAATATTTGCATCATTATAACATTGTACTCAACAATTTATTAATATGGAATAGGGATTGTATACCGGTTTACCGATTTACCAGTTAACTGATAAATTGACAAAAAAAAACATTCGGTAAACTTTCTGGTAAATTTTTGAAATTTACCGGTAATTTTTGAAATTTACCGGTAAATGAAAAATCCATACTACAAATTTCTACATAGAAAATATTGTGTTTATAGATATTTAAAAGGGCTAAAGGGACATTAAAAATAAAAAAAATAAAAAACAAGTAAGTGTAAGCAACAATATACCTCATTTTTAATTTTATGTGATATATTATTTGTTTAATTTTAATTTAATGACTATTCGTCCAACAAGTGTTGAATCAGAAAGGGTATTCTCGGGATCTGGATTATTTTGTACAAAAATTAGATCAAAATTAGGAGATAAGACTATAAATAATTTAAGTTTCTTGAGAAGTTAATTTTAAAAAATGGTAATCAATAAAATGGTATTAGGTACTATATATTATTTCTGTTGTATTTTTATTTTTCTGTATTATTTTATTTCTGTTTATTTCTATATTTATTATTATAGTTTGTTTAGAATAACACTTTAATTTTTATATTTTTTATATTTGATATCTTTGAAATAAAAAATGTGAAATGGAAATCATAATGACATATTTTTTATCACCTTAATTTTATTTTTCAAGAAAAAAATTTACCGGTAAACCGGTATTTTAATTTTCATTTACCGAATTACCGGTAAATGAAAAAGTCGGTAAATTTACAATCCCTAAATATGTAATAAGCAGTTTTTATGGAGAGCATTACAATCAACCAATGTCTATAAAGAGGAGCCTCAAAGGACAATTGTATCTCCCGAGATTTGCTTTAATCTTTTTGTTTTTCTTCTTTGCTTAATTTTGAATAACAGTTTATAAAGCAACAAGATATTTTATAAGAATAAATTTTACTGTACAGTCTGCTATGATGAGTTCTCTTCTGTAGTTCTCCTTTAAGCCATATTGTTTGGAAAACTACATTTTTTAAGGATAGTTCTGTTTGATTTTTGTGTGTTATTTATTTTTGAAAAAATAAATAAAGATATTATAAGTAGTAGAAAAACTGTTTAAGGAACATTATTTTTAGTAAATTAATTGCTTAGTTGATCTAAATTGTATATTAATCAAATGATAATACAGGATTGTATTTGTATTTTGTATTAAATTTAATAATTAGAATTAAATTAATTATATTAAAATTAAATATATTTAATTAGTAAGTTCTGGCCCAATGAATTTGGTGTTATCATTTGATTAATTTATAATTTTGGACTTGGTTTACTGTATAACTAAATTGCCTGAAGACAAAATACAGTACTGCAGGTGTCTTTGACTTTAATATAACTAATAAAAAAAAGTTATTAGTTATATTGAAGTACTCCATGAAAACTGCTTCCTGTGCTTATTTAATAGCTTGCATTTAAAATTTATTTAAAACTACAGTATATTTTAAACTTGTATTTTAGTATTATTATAATTTGATAGAAATAATTTATGACATATTGTTAAGTAGCAAGAGAAATTGATAAAGTTGTCAATTTAGATCTGTAAGGGTTAATTGGTAAATAAGATTTAGTCTGCTACATTTTGAGAAGTGTGACAATAGAAACACATGACCTCCCACTATTTAGTAGTCATGAATGTCTAGTCTTATTGTTTTGATCCAGAATATAAGACTGTCAATGCAATATTGTCACTCTTCTCTGTTAGGAAGTTCAAAATTCTTTGTAAGCATAACTTTTTTGCAGAGAGATTTTTTTGGAATAAAAAGGAATTTTTTACACAGATTATCTGGCAAAGAAGAAACAATCAATTTAGATAATTATTGTGAAATCTGATAAACACTCAAGACATAATTGTAGATAATGTCAGAAAGAACTTTTTTTTTTTTTAACATTATGATAATGCAATACCAGACTTCATTAGGAAAACAACAAAGATGATTAAGAACCACCAGAAGCATCTTTGGGTTCTTAAGGGTGGTTATTCCATATCCTCCTGATAGTCCAGATCTGACACACTCAGACTTCTGGTTGTTTCCAAAATTAAAGGTATTGAAAATTTCAGTCAATGCTTTTCATCAGATACCAAAATTCAAGCTGCTATATGAGAATGGATCAAAGATATTCCAGAAAGTTTATTCATGTACAGAATGCAAAAAACAGATTAAAAAACAGATATGTTTGGAAAAATATGTCACTCTAAATGGTAATTACATTGAAAAATGAATGTGTTAAATTAATACATGATTTTTAATATTTTTTAAAACTGATCACATTATTCTACCTCTAATCAAACTAATTTTATAAAAACGGAAGTCCATTTATTCAAATAAAAGGATTATTGTTTAAAATAGATCTGAAGTTGTCTTGTTTCTTGAGAGCTGATATTTTTTTAACCTGATTTTTTATTGTTGAATATTCTTAATAAAAATATTCAATAGTCAGAGATTAAATTTAAAAAAACGAGTCTTATGCTTTGTTAATTCACTTATATAATGCACATTAAATTTTAGATGATGATAAAATATAATTAGATGTTAATTTTGTAATTTTACTGTACTCTAAAACTGTAAAATATTAATCACAGTTTAAATCTAAAAATTTGGGTTAAGTTTTTATTTTTTAATTTTTTTTTGTTTTTGCATTATTTTACTTGATCATTTTTCAATTTTCATAATTCATTGTTAGACTAACATATATATAGCTTGTTTAAAAGGTAAGGTCAACCAGACAGGAGGTGTTAGAGGAGTTTGCATAGAATAAATAATATATAAAAAATTTTCTTGTATTATAGTTTAATAAAGGCAGCATTTGGAATTATGTTGGCATTTTAATTATTAGCAATTGCAGATACATGCTCTACGAACAAGAAAGAAAGTACTCTATCAAAATGAGCTACCTGACATTGTTTGAAAATTAATTAAGGATGCAGATGTTCAAAATGCTCTCCTCTCTCAAGCAAGCACACCTCATGCATGCCAACGAACTGAACATCGAATCTTATCTAACAACTGGTGCTGTTGTACTTTTGCTTAAGCAGCTTGAATTCTTTGTACAAGTTCTTTCTTGTTTTCTCAGAACTGTTAATTTCTTTCCTTCATACAACTTCAAAGAAAAAGTCCAGTGGTGTGAAATTGAAGAAACTTTGTTTTAATAAAACTTGGAAACAGTACCAAATTTAGAAAAATGTTGTTATGCATTATATAGTGCAAAAATGTCATAGATTTTTGCACTATATAATGTTCTATATCACCTCCCAATTTGAAACACCCTCTATAATAAAATAATGTTGGAAAATATAAATCTTATTTTTGATAACTGCATTGTTAATCCAAAGAGATTTCATAAAAACTAAATAAAAAAAAATATGTTTAACTTAGATGAAAATTTATTATATACATAATTTTCAATTTTCATAAATTTATCAAATTTGTTAACAAATCACACTGATTTTAATATATAAAAAAATATCTTTTTGATCTGTGAAATAATTGTTTATCTTTTAGCATTATGCAATTACATTCTCAAAATTACTAAAAAGTTTCTAAATCTATGATAAAGAATGTCATTTTAATATTATCTTTAGGTCAAATTGTTTATTGTTTTTTTTTTCTTTCTTAATTATGTTAAATAAAACATCTTATAAAATATATAAATATATAGTGTTTTGTTAAAATTTATGCAGGGCATATGCAAACTATGAAAATTTCTTTACAGGTTTTATTTATTGTTATACAGATGATACACCAACAAAAGAAAGAGAAACTCCTAAGTCATCATCTCCAAAATCTAATTCAGCTCCTTCAGGAGAAAGCAATCACAGTGATCATCTCACACATCTTGATACAGGAAACAAGCATCCAGATCCTTTAAGGCCCGTAGGAGTAGGTTTGGATTCAAATCTTGTATATTTATTATTTTAAAACATTTCATAATGTGTAATAAACTTATATATAAGTTAAGTAATTTCATCAAAGATTAAATTATCTTTGATGATAAATTTATATTTGATCAAACATTGCACTCAGTTCAAAATGTGGTTATTTTAATTTCTGAATAATTTTCAAAACATTGATATCATTCAAATGACTTTTTTTAATCTAATAAATTTTTTGAACCGAAATTTTGTAACTAACATATTGATACTTTTGCCACAAAACATATCAAATAGTTTATCAAAACTAATGTATTTTTAAAAAATATCTAGTTCATTACACTTGTTTAATGAATTTAATTTTTCAAATAATGAATTAACTTTCTATTTAAAACAAAGCAAAAATAAGAAAAACATTCTTTGATAATATCAGACAAAAATAAAGTTGATTTTACTTTTATTGTTTATATGTCCAAGTCTCTCTATTATCAGTAGACTGCTTGATCTCTCATATATGAACTTACTGACTGTAGGGAAAAAATTAGAATAGTTTACATAGAATATTTTCCTAATGTAGATTCTCACTATAAATAGAAAATATAGCCTTGTGTTTTTACAGATAAATTTACTTATGTTTTACTTTTTAAATGATAACTTCATAAATTCTTGATTTCCACTGATAATTTTTAAAAAAATGAAGAAATTTTGTTTTTCAAATTAATATATTCAACTGGAAGAAATAATTGTCCTATTTAAAATACACATTAATGGAAATGTTTTATCAACACAATCTCATTTGAACTAAGTACTGAAAGTTCTTTTTATTTATTTCAAAATTCATCAAGAAGTATTAATATACTAAACATTTTAAAAATTGTTTATATCCTAATATTTGTGATAGTATTTATTTTTTTAACTTATTTTCATTTATACCAAAATTTATGCTAATACAGGTAACCCCCGTATAACACGGTAGTTACGTTCCAAAAAATTGCCGTGTTATGTGAATCCGTGTTATACGAAACAAAGAACTAATACGAAAAGGAGGGTTAGGTTCCAAAAATTAAAAAACATGCTAGTATATTTTCATAATTAAGATAAATATCTTCATAAAAATTTTTTAAGTGATACATATTAATATAAATTAAACAATGTTTTCTTCATCATCACTAAAAACACTATTAATTAACCGAGAGCGTTTTCTTTTTGGCAAGTTATCCTTATCCTCTGAGCATTTTTCTGCATTATCTTCAGATCCATGCTTTACCTTTTGCAAAAAGTATGTAATTTTAGATTGCTTGCTTCTAGTTAAAAGGTCTTTATAAATTTCCTTATATGGTGCAAAGCACTTATGAAGAATAAAGCAAGTATGGAATAAGGGGAAAACATTCGGCAACATCAGAAGCAGAAGCGTCGCGATCTGGCAACATTGAAACAAGTTTCAAGAAGGACCACGTGTATCGACAGAAGGCGAGAAGAGAAAATTTACATACTTAAGTGCTAATAGTTCACGAAAATTATTATTTTCGTGAACTATTATTACTTAAGTATGTAAAAAGTTATTACATTTCCTGTTGTTCGAGGGTTTTACCCAATTCTCGAACCATGTCAGAGTGAATCCGTGCTATAAAAGTACCGTGTTATACGGGGGATGGTACCAATTCTCGAACCGTGTTAGAGCGAATCCGTGCTATAGAAGTGCCGTGTTATACGGGGGTTACCTGTACACTATTCCAGAATACATTAAATAATGAATTATATTAATAGAAATTATTATGTATATTAACTTTTTAAATTATCTTTATTTTTGTTAATGTAATAGTAACTAAATAAATAAGAATTGCATATTAGATAAAGCATATAGTCAATTACATTTATATCCCTTTAATACTTTAGGATATTGCAAAAACATTTATAATTTTCCTCCTTAACTAATATAATTATTATACATGAGAGATAAATTTATAATGTAATTTATGTAACAAATGTACATAAGGTGATTTCAAATAGTTGTCAGTTTCCTTGTATAATTTTCTAACCAGAAACATCAAGGAAAGTGTAATTCAGAAAGTTTAATAAGTATAGAATCAATATTGCAGAATGCTAAACAATTTCAGCATTCATGCTTTTTATAGCATGTATGATTTCTAAGTGATAATCAATTTCTGTTACATTTTTGATGTAACTGTCTAGAGACAGTTACATCAAAAAGCAGTTCTGAACTTCAGTTCATTGCAGCAGTTCTGAACTTCAGTTCATTGATGGAAGTCACAGGGCTTTGTAAACAGTGTCCATTACTTATTTCCATAGAAAGATATCAAGTTAGCATTGAGGCCATGGAATTAATCATCACTCCCCACCCAAAAGAAAAATGTATGTCAAGACATGAAGAGCCCAATGTGACAGTATGCCATCTTGCTGGAACATCACATTTGGCTCAACTGAGGTAGCATATACCACTGTAGCATGTCTAGCTTAGCCACTGCTGTCACAAAGAAAAAGGGCTCTTAAACTTCCAAACATGACAAAGCACATCACATATTCATCTTTGACTATTTTTTTCAATTTCTCAAACGGCATGAGGGTTTTCTAATTTCCATATTCTGCAGTTATCACAATTTACCTTCCCTGATATGTAAAATATTGTTTCATCACTAAATCTCAAAGCTAATCAAAATTATTTTCAAAGATGGACTTTTGACAAAATTCTTGGGTAAATTGGAAATGAGGTAGTTTATCTGGTTATAAAGTTTTTACAATCTACAGTTCATAGACAAGAAGAAAAAGGTGGTTAGAAACACTCCTCCAAACAGTTTTGTGGTAGACCTTACTGCCAAGAAACTTGTATAATTGATTGTTTTTTGGGGCTTCAAGAAAATTCTTCTTGGATTTGATCACCATTTTGTGAATTGCTTGATCGTCCCATTTGTTTTTGTGCTGAACACCACAAGTCTCTTGAAATTGCTGTAAGACAGTATTATCTGAAAGTGGATCTTTTCCAAACTGAGTTCTGTAATAGGTTGTGTTGTGATAACAAATTTTATTTTGAAAAACCAAAGTATGCATATTGCTTTCTCTTGACAATCATTTTGAAGTATATCATACCTCTCAGTCATCAAAGTGGGAAGTATAGCATTGCCAAAAAAATTTAGTTACACTTTCATATTCTGTAAGTAGTTTTATTTTGTTGTTCCTGTGTGGAAAATTATAGAACATGAGAACAATGATAAATGTTTAGAATTATCCTGTATAAAAATTTCAAACATAACAGATATTAATAAATTAATTTTATTAATTTAAAATAATTTAAACATAAAAAAGTCATATGTGGTAACAGATAAAAGAAAGAAGTATGAAGTAAATTGTTATTTTAAAATAAAATAGCAATAATCAAGATTAAAACTTGTTATAACATCTACTCATTACATGAATTGTGCATTTATTTGAATAAACAAATACAGTAAAAAAACAAATCTGCTTATTTGTAATAATTTTTGGATTCAAACTGATGATAATAATCAAGATATGATTAAGAGAGTAAGTAAATAAGAATCAAAAGGACAGGTTAAAACAATTAAAAATGTATAATTTGAAGATTTATTAATAATAATTAATAGTAATTCATCCAGCATATAATTGAAATCAGAACTACTGCAGTAATTTAAACTACTGAACTGTGAGCAAATAATGATTAAAATAAGTAGCATTTAACATCTAAACACTGGTTAAAACTGATGATGATTGTATATTACAGCCACATTTTGATGCTGATAGGAGGAAAAAAGTGGCTTAAAAATGCATAATTACTTGAAGATAATGTTAGCAGTAACAAAACACTGATTACATTAAGCAAACTTATGTTTTGGAATTTGCTAATTTTGATGACATTATATGACTAATAACAGTATGTGTGATTACAGCGAGTAGATTCTACTATATATGAATACTGTGACAGAAAATGTGGAATTATTTGATAAATTTTTTAAAAGAAAAAATTGTTTGTTTTTAAACTATGCTAATACAATTTACATATGTGTAAGCTTAACTATACTAATTTTTTTTTATTTTTTTAATTTATAAGAATTTCATTTTTATTTAATAGTCAAGAATTTAAGAATTAATTTATATTATCACCACTCTATTAAAACAATAAAAATTTAAATAGATTAATTTCATTTTCTTAAAGTAACTATACAAAAAAAAAATCATTTATTTATGCTCAAGTATTTTCTTAGTTAATTTATTTGTATGCTTCAAAATATATTGTAAATTCAAAGTGTTTATAGTAGTTCTTCTTTTTATTCAATAAAATGTTTTATTATGGATATGAAATTATTAGTATTTAAAATTTTAAGTAATTTCCTATTAGAGTAATGAGCAATGTCTCTGGACATTGCCTTAAAACATAATTGCTTTTAGTGTTATCCAGAATTTCTGACAATATTAAGCAGTGATAAACTTGAATTAATATTTGTAAAATTGATCTGATTTTACTATGCTTATCAAATGAAAATACTTCGTAGTTTTATATTGAGTAAAATTTTATGACAAATTTGAAGTATTAGTTATATAGTTTTATTTTAAAGAAATAAAAAAAATTAACATTCAATTAATATTGCTATTACTTCTGTTTTTATATTTACTTATTAAATAACAGAATTATGAATTTATTTATTTAATTTTATTTCAGTCCTATTTTATTTTTATTTATGTAATTCTTCTCATAGGACTATTCTTCTTTGTTAATTCATTTTCATCAACATAGAAGTATGGTCCTATGAAAAACTTGAGGTAAGAAAGTTATTTAAAAAAAATACATTACATAAAAAATGTTAGAATTATAAAACTTTGAATCCTTAGCTAAAGTTTATATCTTTGTTATAATTTCATCTATTAATTAATTTATCCATTAGGGAATTTTTAGCATTTCCTTTTCAATCTTTTGCTGTCTAACTTACAAAATATTACATTGACTTTCAGAGCAATTCTTTATTAAACACAGTTAAAAAT